TTAACAAGTAATATTTTTACATTAAGTATTTTCAAATAGATATTAAATCAACACTTATTTACTTTCTTTTGGTATGAATTAATACCTTGTCTTTTCTCAGTCCATTTATTAAAAGTCTCACCAGAATTATATTTTCCCATAAATTTTCTTACATATATTATCTATATGCATATCACCCTTTCTATCCATCTAAATTTACAAGTTACATTGTGAATTTTTATTGGAGTGAAATTTAGCTCTGGAAACTCCTGAAAAAGAAATGCATATTAGTCATGTAAAACTTTTGTTGTTAGACTATCTCTAATGTGGATATCATGGTCAAAATATTGAAATATAACTCGAAGAAGTAAGGAAAAATTGCCTCCATCTAGTGGTCTCATAGAACTGGTGCAGCCTAATTTGACAAAGTTGTTTTCATGGTGCTGGTTGATAATTCAGATGTCTAGAGAAGCTTGAGCAAATAATATAAATGGAAGAAATATCAGTTGAGAGAAACATCAATTATTGGTACATATTACATTTTTCTACAGTTATGGAACTATGGTGTAAGCATGCAACATAAAATATACATACACAGGATGTAGAAGGATAGATTTCAAACTTTGACTGGAAAGCAAATGCAAATTCTCTATGATAAACGCCCCTATGAATGGTAGTTCTATAGCAATATGCTCAGCTAGCACAAGGTTTCAATGATTATTTATCATTCTAGAACACTGACCTGGTTGTGCTAGACCTTTCATTTTTTTTTCCAAGAAAACATGATTCTAGATTTGTGTATCAGTCTATTTTGTGTTACTATCACAAAATACCCAAGGTTAGATACTTCACACATAAAAAGTGCTTTTTTTTTTATTGGTTGTTCAAAACATTACAAAGCTCATGACATATCATCTTCCATACATTTGATTCAAGTGGGTTATGAACTCCCATTTTTTACCCCAAATACAAGTTGCAGAATCACATCGGTTACACATCCACATTTTTACATAATACCATATTAGTGACTGTTGTATTCTGCTACCTTTCCTATCCCCTACTATCCCCCCTCCCCTTCCCTCTCATCTTCCCTCTCTACCCCATCTGCTGTTGTTTAATTCTCTCCCTTGTTTTTTTTTCCCCTTTCCCCTCACAAACTCTTATATGTAATTTTGTGTAACAATGAGGGTCTCCTTCCATTTCCATAGTTTCCCTTCTCTCTCCCTTTCTCTCCCCCTACTCGTCTCTGTTTAATGTTAATCTTTTCCTCATGCTCTTCTTCCCTGTTCTGATCTTAGTTGCTTTCTTTGGGGAAAAGGGTACACTTGTACATTGCTGGTGGAACTGCAAACTGGTGCGGCCAATATGGAAAGCAGTATGGAGATTCCTAGGAAAGCTGGGAATGGAACCACCATTTGACCCAGCTATCGCCCTTCTCGGTCTATTCCCTGAGGACCTTAAAAGAGCATACTATAGGGATACTGCCACATCAATGATCATGGCAGCACAATTCACAATAGCTAGACTTTGGAATCAACCCAGATGCCCTTCAATAGATGAATGGATTAAAAAACTGTGGCATTTATACACAATGGAGTATTACACAGCACTAAAAAATGACAAAATCATGGATTTTGCAGGGAAATGGATGGCATTAGAGCAGATTATGCTAAGTGAAGCTAGCCAATCCTTAAAAAACAAATGCCAAATGTCTTCTTTGATATAAAAAGTGCTTATTAAGCTCAAAGTTTGGAGATTCATGTGTATGGCACCAGAGTGCTTGGTTCTGGTGAGGGCCTTCTTGCTACATCAAAACATGGTAGATGGTATCATAGAAAGAATATGTGTGAAAGAGAGAGAGCACATGGACAGAGAGGAAGTAAGAGAGTCAGAGTCCAGGCATATTCTTTTCATAACAACCTGCTCTCGCAGAAACTAACTGGAGTCTCTTCAGGACTACGTTACTCTTTCCTGTGGGTGATGCCTGCAATGACTTAGTTGCCTCTTGAAAGTTTCAGCACCTCTCCATATTCCCACACTGGGGACCAAGCTTCCAGCACATGAACCTGAGGGATGCTCTCAAACAATCTCTAAACCACAGTGTATGTGAGACCTACTAAATTTAATATGCCAGCTTATTTTTTAAGATGTGATGTGGCCTCAACTTAAATAGATCTTGAGGTCATGTTTGCCCTATGGCCCATGATTTTGATGTATAAGTTGCAATAATAGGTCTTAAATTTCTTGATTTCATTTCTTCAAAGGACAGAAGAGGTATGGGCATTTTCCAGAACATTCAACACTAGGTAATGAGACTGGAATACAAACCTACTTGGTCATTGCTAGGTTGAGTCTTGGTTGAGGATTATTTTTATTCAACAACAGGCACTATTCAAAGTGTTAGAATTATAGCTGTGAATAAGCAAACTCTTTTTCCTTTGTCTCTTTTAGATTCCTACCTTAAATGGGGAGCTCATCAATGTCATCACAGAGCATGGTCACTTTCTGCAGGGAATATACACTGGAATGTTTGGCTATAATTTCCTAGCGTTAATCTTGGTTCTTGAGCACCATATAGAATTTGTTCATGATTTATATTTCTTTTTTTAAAGTTTTTTATTTGTTTTAATTAGTTATACATGACAGTAGAATGCACTTTTATACTTTGTTATATCATACATAGATGGGATATAATTTCTCATTTTTCTGAGTATACAGTCACATATATACATAAAGTAATAATGTCTGTTTCATTCTACTATCTTTCTTATCTCCACATTCCCTGCCTTCCCCTCCTTTCACTTCCCTCTACCTAATCTAAGGTAACGCTATTCTTTTTTTTTTTTTTTGCATTACAATTCTTAATACACATATATACAATTTTTGTATCTCTCTTTGTATATAATGTATATTGACACCCAATTCAAGTCTTCATACATGTACTTTGTTTAATGATGTCCATTATGATTTATATTTCTTTGGGATACTTTTCTTGCAATTTTCTGTTGGACATTTTGAAGTTCTTTTTTTATTTTTTATCAGTTACACATGATAGTACAATGATCTTGACATACCATACATTTGAGTCAAATGGGGTATAATTTCTCATTTTTCTGAGTGTACAGGTTGCAGAATCACATTGGTTATACAGTCACGTATATACATACAGCAATACTAGTGTCTATTTTATTCTGCTGCCCTTCCTATCCCCCCTTCCCCTCCCTTCCCCTCCCATGAAGTTCTTAAACATAGCACTCAAATACAGAGTTTGCAGTATAGGGAAGAATAAATCAGTGAGATGGTATTTTACTTTCTCTCTTTCATCAGATGGTATTTTACTTTCTCTCTTTCTTAACCCTGCCCACACCTCCCCTCTTCTACCCAGAGACAGTGAATAAAGAAAGGAAAAATGGTCAGGATTCAGAATTCCTTAAACTTCTTCAGAAAGTGGGAGAGATTGAGTGAAATAAAAGAAATCACAAATAGCAAGTGGCCCAATTCCTTCTCTCAAGCTCCCTCTGTCATTATGTTGGACAGTCACATTTAAAGGCAAGCAATAGTCCTTCCATTGGCTTCCTGGGCCCCTGCAGGCCCCTTGAGCTCTCTGCCTGATCCACAGCTGTCTTCTCACTTGTTCATTCTCCTGCCTCTGGTCTCTGTGCTGCTCCTTGGATCTCCCATGATTCCCCTTCCCTATTATACTTTTGTGCTCTCATTCCCACTGCCTGAAATAATATTGATCCCCCGAGATCTGCTTATTCTCAACCCTACATGTCTGTGCTAAAGTGTGACTTATTTGCTGAAGTCTCCCTGGATTGTCCCATTGACAATGACATCTGCCCCTTACCCAGCACTCCCAACCCTGTTTACTCTTCTCTGTTCTCCTCCCCCCATAGCTTTTAATATATATAATGCATTTATCATGTTTGGGGTTTTTTTGTAAGTATTTCATTTGCTAAAATACAAGCACCCGAAAGATAGAGATCTTTGTCTTGTTTTATTTAATGATATGTCAGCAGTGCTGAGGAAGACAAGGGAGGAGATAAAGAGAGAACTTATTATATTCCAGGAACCATTTTTTATAGTGGATATTTTTAAGTGAAAGAATATCGAACTACTTAGGGTTGTCATACTTTGCACAGCCTGCTCTAATTGCTTGTAGAAAGATTTCTTGCAACAAATTATCTCATGTGTGGGCTTAGGATCTATTTTGCCTTTATTATCAGAAATTTAAGAAATACATATTAAGAGGAAAGAGAGTTTGTATGTTTGTTAACAAAAAAATGTTGAAAATAAAAACAATTTCAAGTGTTTGGTCCAAAAGAAAATTGTGTTATATAAATAATTCATATAAAAACTATAAAGAAAAAGTAATTGGCTTGAGACAATAGAGAGATTGTGGAATATGATGTCAGTAATCCTGGATACATGACTTACTACTTTTCTGATCATAGGTTAATAATTCATTAGCTCTCAGAATTAATAACCTTATTTGTAAATGGTAATAACAATATAATAGTCTATCTTGTTTGCCTTATAAGTGTATGGAAGTGCTTTCTTTCTTAATATCTACTTGTTTCTTTTAATAGTTAACCCAACTTTCATCTAAACTTATCAATATTTTATTTTTCTTTTTACTTGACAGATTATCTTTTAGAATGTAAGCTCCACAGGGGCAGGTTGGTGTCTTTCTTTTTCAGATTCATGTTCCCAACTTTAAACCTTATGTCTGACACATAACAAGTTGCTCGGTAAAGATGTCCTAGGATTAAGCAAATGTAAGCAATAATGTCCATATGATGTAATAATAATAGTAGATTGGTTAATAATCAATTATGATACAGATGTCTGTTATTATTGTCACCATCTAAACCATTTGATCACCCATGATCAAATATGTGTTTTCTCACCTTTTTAAATCCATTACCAGGGGTATGATCAACTTCAAGTATTTCTGCCTTAACTTACATATTACTGAAATAATACAGAAAAACTTTGCTGATCTATTGATTTTGTAACAGGTCTCTAAGCTGGCTGGTGTTTTGGTTAAGTATGGAATCCAAAAAGGTGACACTGTCGTCATCTATATGCCCATGATCCCACAAGCAATGTATACCATGCTGGCATGCGCAAGGATAGGAGCCATCCACAGTCTCATATTTGGGGGATTCGCATCCAAAGAATTAAGCAGTCGCATTGATCATGCAAAGGTAAGTGCTTTCTTCGGGGAAATTGGGTTGTAGCTACCTATATTATAGCCATTTTTACCTGTGGATGAGTTATCCAAGAATGTTCTTACTTCATTGATCTTCTTTTCAAATGGGGTACTTAAAATTTATTTTTCTTTTTGTTTATAGCAGCTTTATTCATAATCAGCAAAACAAACAAAAAACAAACAAACAAAAAAACACCCTGAAAGCAACCAAAATATCCTTCAACAGATGATAGATAAACAAAGTGTCATGCATCCATCTAATGAAATGCTATTCAATGGTAAAACAAATTCACTACCAAGCCATTAAGTCATGAATTAAATTTTTTGGGGGGAGGCAGTACCAGGGATTGAACTCAGGGGTACTAGACCGCTGAGCCACATCCCCAGCCAAATTTTATATTTTATTTAGAAACAGAGTCTCACTGAGATGCTTAGCACATCACAGTTGCTGAGGTTGGCTTTAAACTCATAATCCTCCTACTTTAGCCTCCTGAGTCACTGGGATTACAGGTGTGCACCACCACATGAATTAATTTTTTGTTCTTTTATATTTTTAAAAATTTATTTATTCTAATTTGTTATACGTGAAAGCATAATGCATTCTAATTTATAGTACACATATGGAGCACGATTTTTCATTTCTCTGGTTGAACACAAAATAGAGTCACACCATTCGTTTCTTCATACATATACTTAGGGTAATGATGTCCATCTCATTCCACCATCTTTCCTACCTCCATACCCCTTTCCTTCCCCTCTCTCACCTTTGCCCTATCTAAAGTTCCTCTATTCCTCCCATGCTCTCTCTAATCCCCATTATGGATCAGCATCCACTTATCAGAGAAAATATTTAGCATTTTTTTTTCTGAGGGTTAGCTTACTTCACTTAGCATGATATTCTCCAACTCCATCCATTTACCTGCAAATGCCCTGATTTTATTCTCTTTTAATGCTGAACAATATTCCATTGTGTATATAGACTACAGTTTCTTTATCATTCATCTACTGAAGGGCGTCTATGTTGGTTCCACAATTTAGCTATTGTGAATTGTGCTGCTATAAACATTGATGTAGCTGCATCACTGTAGTATGCTGCTTTTAAGCCCTTTGGGTATAAACCAAAGAGTGCTATAGCTGGGTCAAATGGTGTTTCCTTTCCAAGTTTTCCAAGGAATCTCCATACTGCTTTCCAGAGTGGTTGCACCAATTTGTAGTCCTACCAGCAATGTATGAGTGTACCTTTTTCCCCACATCCTCTCCAACACTTAATATTGCCTGTATTCTTGATAACTGGCATTCTGACTGGAGTGAGATGGAATCTTAGAGTAGTTTTGATTTGCATTTCTCTAATTGCTGGAGATGTTGAACATTCTTTCATTTATTTGTTGATTGATTGTATATCATCTTCTGAGAAGTGTCTGTTCAGTTCCTTGGCCCATTTATTGATCGGGTTATTTGTTTTTTTGGTGTTAAGATTTTTGAGTTCTTTATATATTCTAGAGATTAGTGCTCTATCTGATGTATTTGCTCCCATTCTGTAGACTCTCTCTTCACCTCACTGGTTGTTTCTTTTGCTGAGTAGAAGCTTTTTCAATTCGAATCCATCCATTTATTGATTCTTGATTTTATTTCTTACACTATAGGAGTCTCATTAAGGAGTTGGGGCCTAATCCAATATGATGAAGATTTGGACCTACTTTTTCTTCTATTAGGCACAGGGTCTCTGGTTTAATTCCTGAGTCCTAGATCCACTTTGAGTTGAATTTTGTATATGGTGAGAGATAGGGGCTTAATTTTATTTTGCTGCATATGGATTTCCAGTTTTCCCAGCACTATTTGTTGAAGAGGCTATCTTTTCTCCAATATATGTTTTTGATGCCTTTGTCTAGTATGTGATAACTGTATTTATGTCTCTATGTCCTCTCTTCTATTGTGTACCATTGGTCTACAAGTCTATTTTGGTGCCAATGCCATGCAGTTTTTGTTACTATTGCTCTGTAGTACAGTTTAAGGTCTGGTATAGTGATGCCACTTGCAGCTCAGTTGGTAGAGTGCTTGCCTCATATGCACAAGGCCCTGGATTCAAAGCACAATTCAATCCCCATACCACCAAAAAAAAAAGAAAGAAAGAAAAGAAAATGTTTTTATTTGACATTTATCTGTTAATTTTACATTCTTTTTTGAGTCAGTTCTGTGTGCTTAGTGCTTTAAGAAATGTAAAATATAAAATAAGGTATATGCCTTTCAAGTTATCTTGTCATATACTACGGTATATAAGACATATAAGAAAAATAATTATTAATTTATTTATTCAACATTTATTTACTAGGCTCCCTTCATGTGCTTGGTACTGACCTTGGAAAAGTATAAAAAATAATAGTTATGAAATATGTGGGCACATAATTATTTTTAAAAATCTATATACTTCTAGGAATGGAGTGATAACCCAATGATTAAGGACAGAGAGGGCTAGGGTCACGTTTGAATGGGATGCTAAGAGAAAAAATTTCATAATTTGTAAAATATTCTTAAGATATTGTATTTAAAACAGCACAGTGTCTAAGATGTAGCATTCATTTAAATATTATTATTATTCTATGAGTTTAGAATGGTCAGTGAACATTTCCCTGTAAGTGACCAGAGAGTGAGTATTTTAGGCACTGCATAGTACCTGTTCTCTGTTGCAGGCACCCAGCTCTGCTGCTGTAGCACAAAAGCAGCCTCAGGCAGTACATCAATGGGCATATCTGTGTTCTGATAAAGCTTGACAGAAATAGTTTGCAGACCCCCTAATTTTGAGGAAGGGACATTTCTTTTGGTTTTGGTAGCTGAAGAGGGCTCTGTGAAAAAAAAAAAAAAAAAGAAGTGAGATCTGAGTTAGGTCTTGGCTGAGATTAAGGTGGAAGAGAATGATGTAGTAGGATCCAAAAGCCAGGGAAAGAGTATGAATCGAGCATTACTGGCAGGAAAGATCAAAAGTCATTTGGGAGGAAACAAGTAGATTGGCATGACAGAGAAAAGAGAGAAGTGAGCTTGCCAAGGCTGGTTTTGTCTGACCTGTAAATAAACCACTGGAAGTTAATGAGCAGGCGAGTGTCACGTTTTAAGCAATGTTAAAGAGGAGACAAGCTTTGCAGTATCACAGGAATGAGGAGTGAGGCTGGAGGCCTTAAGTGTCTCACTAATATGTTCTGCTTTTGAAGAAATGGGAAATTTTTAAAAAATCAGAACATGTCAGTTGTAAGACTGAGGAAGGAAAGTCCTTGTAGGAGTTAAGAGATGGCTGGCTTTTAGAGTTTCAGACACGAAGACAAGGTGTTTTTAGGGAAGTAGCTTGCATTCTAGGTCCTCTGAGTGCTAAGCCTAGAGTGAGGCTTTGTATAGTTTAATTCATCTGCTAAAAGGTAAGGTATTAGAACTAGAAAGTTGTTTTGTGGACTAAGTACCTGAGTTCTTTTTATTATTATTATTATTATTATTATTATTATTATTATTATTATTGCCCCCTTAAGTTATTGCTTATGAAAGAAACCTAGAGGGGTTTATCAATCTGTCACTGACCTGTAAGTTCATGGGAAGTTGGTAAGGGCTCTTAGGAAGCTATAGGCTCTAGGTTATTAGCTACAGAAAAGCTAAACACCATTTAGACAAAGATATTGGATATGTTATTTTCTTCTAAGAAACATCCTAATAAGATATGAAGAAATTGAAATATATAAAATATATATAGATATGTGCACATATATAAATATGTACATAAATAAGGACCTACCCAATGCTGTACTGCAGGAGGAGTTTTTATTCATCACAAACAGATATACAATATTGTTAAGAAGTAGAGGCAATACGTGCATACTCTTATGAGTAAGACTATTAGGTCAAATTTAAGGAGAGATGATGGAGATAGAGATATGCACATGAAATTTCTAGACAAAACAAATATTTGAAATCTGTGATTTTTATGTCCTGATTTTCAAACAAATTGGCTAAAGAATTTTTTTTTTAAATTTTAACAGACAAAGATGAAAAGGATATATTCTAAAATGTCAGTCTAGACCCAATAAAACCTCTAATAAAAGTTGTCAATAAAATGCAAAAGGGATTATTTTTACAGAGTAGTCTAATTTTGACTTTATTAAATTATTCAAGTTCTGATACATTCTATATATGTTCTTAACTTGATATGTAGCAGATTTTAATTTTTTCAGAATCCTAATTTTATGGAATTTTAACTAGAACTATTTTTGTAAGTATTATAGATATTAAAGTGTGAATTATATTCAAATATCTACCTTTAAAAATACAATGAAAGGAAATAAGAGTTCTTTTCTTTTCTTTCTTCCTTTGCTTTTCTTTTAAAAATCATTTTGCTATAGAGGAAAGAGAAAGGTTATTCAATCACAAAGAACTGGCCCCATTTCTGTCTCTACCCCTTGTAACCTGGGGCAAGCTTTGTAACTGCACTGAGCCTTAGTTCCATGAATACTAAATGATATTCAAGAAGCAAAGAGTACTATATATGTATATGTTTAGCACAGTATAAACTTTCCATAGATTAAATATATTATAACCAGAAATCATAATTCAAGAGTAAATGTAATACCATGAAATGATTAGCTGTTTCTTGAATCATTTATTATATATCTCCTTTGGTTTGGATTTTTTGGTTAAGAAGCAATACATTTAAAAGAATAAAAATGTTTGTTTCTGCAAATTAATGAAAATTTTCATTTAGTCCTACAATTTTTGTTGAGAGTTTGTGGAATGATAGACCCTATACAGGCACAGAAGATAAATGACATCCAGACTTGGCCTTGAACTACTTACTGAGCAGTATTGGAGATTAAAGAATCGTTCATTATAGACAGATGTTTGAGGCATGCCCAGCATGTAACAAGGAAGGGAGATTAACCCTAACTACAGTCCCTACCAGGGACACTTTGGCTATACCTGCATACCTCCTAGATGCCCTTCAATAGAGGAATGGATAAAGAAACTGATATATATATAATGGAATATTAGCATTAAAAGAGAATAAAATCATGGCATTTGCAGGTCAATGGATAGGAATGGAGAATATCATAGTAAGTGAAATAAGCCAATCCTCCAAAAAACAAAGGCCAAATGTTTTCTCTCATAAGTGGATGCTGATCAATAATGGGGGTTGGGGGAGCATAGGAGGAGTGAAGGAACTTTGTATAGCACAAAGAGGAAGGGAGGGGGAATGGGGATAGGAAAGATGGTGGAATGAAATGTATGTTATTACACTAGGTACATGTATGAAGACACAAATAGTGTGATACTTTGTGTACAGGCAGAGAAATGAAACATTGTGCTCTATTTGTGTACTGTGAATTGAAATGCATTATGCTTTCATGTATAACAAATTAGAATAAATAAATTAATGAATTTAAAAAAATAAAAGTGACTAGCAAATTATCAGGTAAAGAAGAATTTGGAGGGTATCGTATTAATAGGGGCATGTCCAAACTTTGTGGAGCTTGATATTTAAATTACTTGGGAATTCTTTTGTGAAAAATAATATAAAATTACAAATGTAATGTTTTGTGAACACGAATTTGTCTTTAGAATGAGAATAAAAATGGTAAAAAGATTATGGGAGAACCAGATCCTGTCCTCCTGTGGTCTCTAGGCATGTAGAAGAGATTCATATAGAAAGCCTTAGAAGTGCTTTCTGATTACAATTGGGTTGGTGCTTTCCAGGTAGGAAATGCTGAAGCCTCCCTCAAAACCAGCTCTTATGATATTATGTGTGTGTGTGTGTGTGTGTGTGTGTGTCCATGAGTGCGCGTGTACACACACACACACACACACACACAACTGAGGGCCCCTAAGGTGTACATTTCAGTGGATCTTAGCACATCCACCTGGCTTAATGAATTCTTTAGAAGATATTTTGTACAGCTTGTTTTTATGAGTCCAAAGTATCACCAAGTGTGTAATTTTCAACAGGTAAGTGAGATTTATGTGAAAAGGATTAGGTCTATAACATTTTTAAAAAGAGTGTATTGGTTTTCAGGTCATTTATTCAACAGAGAACAGAATCATTCAAACATTTCCTTAGAAATGTTAAAACTGCCAGTCTGCACCTGAAATATTGTGATTACTTTAATTGGGATTGTTAAAGCTTTCTTAATTCTTATTCCAGTTCTTTTTAATTTTAGCCCAAGGTGGTTGTTACAGCATCATTTGGCATTGAACCTGGAAGGAAGGTAGAGTACATACCTCTTCTAGAAGAAGCGCTAAGAATAGGTCAACACACACCAGACAAAGTTCTCATTTATAATCGTCCGAATATGGTAATTTGAATATTTCACTTGATTCTTGTTTTGTTACTGTGTTAAGGATGGTTCTAGTTTTGACCGTTTTGAAAGAGACACTTCATCCAAAAACTATATATATATACATATATACTAATATATATATATATATATATATATATCTCCTGAATGTGGTTGCTATTTCTAGGGAGAAAAGATATAAAAAAGTACTTACTTTTTTTGTGTGTGAAAAGTAGGTTAAAATAAAAAAGTTGAAACAGATAAATACTTGTAATATTCATGGATTAGGTTCTATGTATAGTGCTAGTGTGACATCATTTCTTGCTTTAAATTTTATAACATATATACTAATGGACACTAATTGCCTATCATTTGATTTTTAAGATATTCTTTTAGTAGATAAATTAAAAAATATTTCCAATAACTATCAGTTAGATGATACTGTGATTCCTATTTTAAAGGAGAATCAGTGGATCTAGAGACAAGTACCTTGCTTGATTAGTAAGTGCAAGAGTCATGATTTGGACACTGGCTTCATGACCCTGTGCTTCATCCCTCCACGGTGCTGCCTATTGGAGAGGTGTGATTAATTTGTATGCAAAATATATTTTTTTTAATTAAGACAAGCATTTAGGCCAGAAATACCAAATTGGGTTCTTAACAGATTAAAACATTTTTGCAGAGGAGAAATTACAAGGGTGCAAAGAATCATGTACAATTTTATGGAGCTCTTGAGAGGTTATCTACAGAAAGTACTTAAATGACACGATATGAGAACAAAGAGTGTTAGAACTATGTCATTTTGATTATCACCTAGCAATTCCCATTAGTACATTAAATTCATGGGTAAAGTTTTAGTAGTCTGTGGTTCATGAACTGCTACACTCAATGATTTTAATGTTCTTACTGTCTTGAAGAAAAATTTAAATTTCTTTCAGAGGACCACAAGCATATCTTTAAAAAAGGCTTTGTTGCCATTTAAATTAAGAAATTCAAAGTGATCAATTAAGAAAGCTTGGGTAAAGGGATGTTCAAGGAATGACAGAAACACACACAAAAGTGTGTTTATGTGACGTAGGGTACTGTTCCCACACATAGAGTATGAATTCACAGAGGGTGAAGACCTTATGATGGGCAGGACTCAATGCTAGCAACTTTCAAATGCTTTTTCTTATTTAATTCTTATAAATCAACAAACTAGATCGTATTACTGGCCCCATTTTAGGAAACTGAAGCAGTTAAAGTCCAGCTAGTAAGTGGTATAGCAAAATTTGAACTCTGGTTTTAATGACTTTGGACCAACAAGATATATGCTATTTATTTTACTCTATAAACGTATCTTTGTGCATATCAATGTTCTCTACTCAAGATTTTTTTTCTTAAATACAAGTCTCTTTTTTTCCCTCTTAAATAGAGATGTGCTCTCTGTTTACTCCTCCCTGATAACTATCTTTCTTCTCTCTCTCTCTCTCTCTCCCTCTCCCTTTTTCTCTAGACTCTTTCCTCCACTGTGACATGGACGAGGGCTTTGAAGGTCTCTTGTCCTGTATACGAGACCTACGGTTCAGGCAGTAATTAAACCCAGTGGATTAGCTTTGCTTTGAGTTTAGAGAGGAACAGATTATGAGCCTGGGCGGTGTAGCTCATTAACCAGGATTACATTTTTTTCCAGGGAGGTAAAAAACTTGGCACTACTCCTGAGCCTCAGGCAAGCATGACAGAATCAAAGCAATATCACATCAGACACCCCTGATGCTCCTCCAGTACCACCTTTTAGGAATTATAACAACTAGGAAAGTCATGTCTGTAAAAGTAAATGCATATATGTAAAAGCTAAATATTGATTTTTCTCTCTCTTCATTTTGTCATGTCTCTTTTACTCACACCTTTTTTTTTCTTAGTCTTTAGAACAACCATCCGTTTGAGCCCTCATTTCAATAGTGGCCTATAAAAATTATGTATCTATAATTATTTCTGTGATCACTCAATTCACATTTTTCATTTTGTCAATGTGATGATTTTTATACATGTGTAATTATGATGTCAAAGGTTTGATAATTTGAAATTAGTTGTTTTTATGTGATGCATGAAAAGAAATGAAAACATGATTTGCTCATAGTTAGCTATTTTTGTTTTTCTAAATGGCACCAGCTAGTGCCAATTAGAGTGGGCCCAGAGAAGCCAAGTGGGACTGAAATATCACCTTCATGAAGGATCAATTCAGATTATTTCTACATGGGTTTATTCATATAGGGATTATATTTGTAATATTATATAGACACATTAATTTGTAAATGTACCTACTTTAACATACAACCACATTTTATAGCCCTGATTAATGTATGAAGAAGCCTGAAAAATAGAAGTGTCTTGTCTTTCTATTCTAAGTCTCTCAGAATCTTTTGGCTTAACTTAGTAATCACCTTGATGAAGCGAATGATTGTATACATCTCTAGTTGGTGAATCCCTCTAGATTTACCAAGGGATGTATAGCTTGGTTGTGCCTGTGCTATCATGCTTATCAATTACAAACTTCACCTGATATGTGATCTTGAATTCAAGTTAGTGTTTTAGAAAATAACAAGTTACCTAATGGGTCTTAACTCTACTTAGATAGCTCTTCATTACAGTAACTCTTCCATAAACTATTTCCTTGCTCTTTATCTATCTGGCCATTTCATGGCTGCTATTTTTAAAGACAATCTCTTCATTTAAAGGTGTATCTGTTTAACCCTTGAATCTATTATCACAAAGTTTACAACAAAGAGTCTTGTTTCCTAGAACAAAAGAATGAAGGAAAGAAGGAAAGAAGGAAGGAAGGAAAGAAAGAGATTGATTTCTACATCAGTTAATGACCTAGGATAAGGAAAACTTGGATAGTCTTTTAGATATGTCACATACACTCATTAATTTTAATAATTAATTTTTGTTCTTGAAAAAGTAGAATTCTTCACCACTCCAGAAGATCATCTGACATGCTCTCATTTGGAAAGGTGGCCACAATATTCCTCTTAAATTCCCTTGTATAAAGAGAACTTTTAATGGGTTATTTGACATTTCATTGTGAAGACAGAACTTCCAAAGTAAAAGAAATAGGATTCAAAAAATAAGAACTTAGTTTATAAGCTGTTAATGTAGATACATCTTTGGAAACATGAACCTCTGAGTTAATTAAGCTCTGAGTGTTGATGAAAATTAACTGCCTTTGATTCAGTTTCTTAAGGGTATCCCTAGATTTGAATAAAATATATTCATTGTGTCAGTTCATTTGAAGCAAACATTAAACCACTGGGATTTTTTTTTAATAAACATTAATCTTCACCAAGAACCTTGAGATTTTCTATTCATAAATTAAGTGTGTGGTGCTATATGCCAGTAGAGTTTCAGTCAGATGCTCACACTCCTATAGATTTAGCTACTTTCTATTCCTTTGATTTAATATTCTTTTCATAATGTCTATTTTTATATTTTGCTGTGTAGGAGACAGTTCCTTTGGTATCAGGTCGTGATCTTGACTGGGAGGAAGAAATGGCGAAAGCCCAATCACATGACTGTGTTCCTGTCCTTTCAGAACACCCACTGTATATACTTTACACATCTGGAACAACTGGGTTACCTAAGGTATTCGCTCTCTTAGGCATAACTATCTATAGCAGCAGTTTTCCTTTGTACTGTGAATATCTATAAAAAATGTCCTAGGGGCTGGGGATGTGGCTCAAGCGGTAGCGCGCTCGCCTGGCATGCGTGAGGCCCGGGTTCGATCCTCAGCACCACATACAAACAAAGATGTTGTGTCTGCCGATAACTAAAAAATAAATATTAAAAAAATTCTCTCTCTCTCTCTCTCTCTCTCTCTCACTCTCTCTTTAAAAAAAAATGTCCTAGACTCTGCTTTGATGTTTAGACATCATTACTTAATATCTTAAATAAATTTTATGCTTAACTCTAAATATACAAAAGCATTCATTGTATTTAATGTCAAATGCTTTATCCTTATTTCTTCCAAATCTTCTCAAATGTCAGCAATACACAATGGACTTCGTAATTTACTAAAATTAACATGTATTTAATTGACTATCAATGGGTATTTGTAAAACTTTGTAAAATATATCTTATGTATGTTTGTGTGTATTTATTTTTGTGGTGCTGGGGATCAAACCCAGAGGAAATATATGTTTAAATGAAATATGTTTTATTTATTTATATTGAGAGATTTTATATTATGGAATTTATTTTCGATCTAGAATTCAGTTCTTTGTTATAAATGTGATTTTTTAAAGAATTGGCCTGGACAGTTTAATAAGAGGCAGTTTATCTAGAGTATTGAAATATTTGATTTACAATATGGAAGACACTTGATGTTTCAATATCTGTTTACAATGAAACTTGCTTTCACAAAGTAAAGTTAAAAATATCAATATTTATGAATGTGTCAGCTATCAACCAATACTACTCGCCTTGTATCTTCAAGTAATACTGTTTATTTATACAACTTCATAAAGGCTTCTGCTATTATCTTTCTGATGTATCCTCCTTAGAGGTTTCAATATTTACCAAATCATAGAATTTAGTGGGGAAAGAGACCTTGGCAATCATTCTCATCTCAGAGGATAGAGGTCTCTATTATCATCACATCTCTGTAACTTTAGAGTTCTGAGAACATAATCTCCTAATTATATTAAACTAGTCTAATCTATTAGATTACATTTTAAGAAGGAAATTTAAGATATTCCACACAAACCTTGCTTGTGAAAAGGAAAACATTTGGTAAAGGAATATATTCTCTGTGAGGATAGAGACCATGTTTTATTACATAGTGCTTAACAATTTTTTTTGTCAAATGCATACATGTGTATGTGTATATTATGCATATGAAGATAATTATCATTTAAGATCAAAGTTGTGTGATATTCTTTACGACTCTAGTCATTTGTAAAGTAAATATTTCTCCATATTGCAGTTTTGTTTGCTTGAGCAGACCAAATGATTGAACACAATTTTCCCCCTCTACTTTTTGCATTTTACTATCAGGATGGAGTTCCATCTGAACATTTGGCTATAAAATAAAAGGGGTACAGCAAAGTTTTAATCTAATATAAAGTAATATAAATGTATCAACATGAACGGAAATTCCTGAACCTGAGAATATAGTACAACTTATCAGACTTTAAAAATAACAACAACAACAACAAAGAACAGACAAAACAACAACAACAATAACAACACTATAGCTTCTTAAAAGCTTGAAGGAATCTTGGAAAAAAGAAAAAAGAAAAAAAGCCCCCACCTCACACAAAAACCTTTGTGCCACCTCAAGAGTTTAATAAATCACTCTGAGATTCACTGTGACCTGGATTAGAATCTGTATAAGAAGAGCTTGTCAGTATTCAAAGTTGACTCGGCCAGGGTAAAAGAAAAAAGATAAAAGTGGTATAGAGAGCATTATGTGTGGAAGAGTGTTGGTTTCCAATAAGGAAGGATCCTGGCCACCCCAGGTTTTCTGAGTCAAGTTCGTTTCAGGATTCCTTCAGTGATTAAATGAAGGTCCTTTCATGTGTTTTTATTTCCCTCTATCCTTTTCCTCTTAACAGACCATCCTGAAGACTGTTTATTTTTATAAGTTGGAGAAGGCTTTAATTGCTTTGAGATTTCTTTATATATATTGAATTTGGCTCAATTCAATGTACATGTATTAAGTGCTCATTCTGTGCTGGAACAGATAGACCATGAGTAAAACACAATCCCTTGAATCTAGTAGGGTGCAGATATGCACGCACATAGGTAATGCAAGACAGACTGTGATTCATTTGTTGAAAAGGTAGGAGACTTCACACAGTGGAGGCAATGGGGATTCTTGTTTCAGACTGTTTAGGAATTTACTTATGACAGTACACTTTAGGGAAGAATCAGATTTTGTTTGAGATTAAAAATGAGAGAGGGAAGTTCAAGACGTTGAAACTGAGAGAAGGGTGGTTTTGAATATTTACTGAAGTAGAAACAGAGTAGAATGGTTTGGGGTGGGGAAACCAGGAGGTTTTGAATGTATTGAGTATGATGTGTTTTGGGGACATTAATATGGAGATGCCCAGTCAGTATTGAACGTGAGAGTCTGAGGCTGTACATCTGAAGCTTGAGATAAACATTCATGGGACATCGGTGTAATGGGCTGGTATTTAACTTATGGAAATGAGTGGGTTTTGCAAAGTGTAACATTCAGAATAGAAAAATAAGGTCATTATTTCCCAGTGTTCCTGAGACATGCTTTTCTTTCCTGCAGTGAACCTTAGAATTGCAATTGCTTTGATATTATATATTGCCAACAGACCTTTATGTCACTTATTTTAATCCACTTTACACATATTGTTATAAGTCTTAGAATGTATTTCACACTTTGATTACACTATGACACTAACCTTAAAATTTGTCGCTGGTAGATCCTTAGGATATATTTAATAATTGCTTACTTGTTTACTCTTCAGACTCCTCTTTATTCATACTATTCTCATTTCAATCAAGATTATTAGTATCTGAAATATTAATGTTGGGATCTCTAGAGTAGAAGTACAGGAAAGATGAACACACCTGTAGGGATATGCATTTAGATATAAATTTCATGACATCATAGTTTCTTTTTCATCTTTGATCATCCTAAGAAATAATAATATTGTGAGCCTGTTACAGTTTGCATCTGGAACGTCCTCCAAAGGCTCATGTGTTTTGGGCTTTGTCCCCGGCTTGTGGTCCTATAGAGGTAATTTCAGAATCATCTCTAAACTGGTAGTAATGTTAGGAAGGGCTGGAAACTTTAGGAGATGGGGTCTTGTTGAAAGAGGTGGGTCACTGGGAGTGTGACTTTGAAGAGTATATTTTGGCCCTGGACCCCTTCTTTCTTACATACTTCCCAGATGCCAAGAGATGAGCAGCTCTGTTCTACCATGCCCTTTTCATTATGATACTTTGCCTTACTACAGGATAAATGCAATGCAACTGACTACTGTGAACTGAAGTCTCTGAGCCAGAAAAACCCCTTTATTACTTCAGGTTACTTTTCTCAGGTGTTTTGTCACAGTGATGGAAAGCTGACTAATTAACCCAAACTGCATAAAAAATATTCTGCTTAAAAATCCTTATTTCTCATAGGCATATAAGGCACACATAAGATAGTCTGTTCTTTGGTTGGAATTTGCATATATATTCAGTTCATATTTGCATTTCTGCGTCTGCCAACTCTGGAGTTGTCAGGAGGCTGTATGACAGGTTAATCTGTTAGCTGCAGCAAATATTCCAGCACCCACAGCTGAGCTACTTTGCATGCATTTTGGTTTTGTTGTGGACTTCTATTCTATTTGGTTTTGGAGTCTATATTCAACATCATTCAAAGCACTGAACAATAAAATAAAAAATCCCTCATCTGGATGGCTCTTCTTTTGGAAGTGGGAGATTTAGTGATGGTCATATTTATCTTCTTCCAGCTTGATATCGTGGAGGGACAGTGATAACAACGAAAAGTTCATTGCCAAAGGAAAACATGGGAAAGCAACCAGAAGGATAGGATTCAAAAGGAGGCACGACAGGAAGGTGATAGATAAGGCTTTTTGTACTTTTGTACATTTACATAACTTATGTAACTTTTATTCCTATTTGTTAGCGGACTTATTCATATTCCCCACCCTGGGGGGAACAAGTGAGAAGGAGTAAAATAAAAGCAGTGGATTTAAAAAAAATCTGTGGTACAATTCTTACAGTTAAAATGCTGAACTTGCTACATCTTCCCTCCTTATCTCATAGTTCTTCAGATCAATAAAAAATTATACAGCTGCTACAGCATCTTCCAGGGAGATAGTTTCAGAATCATCCAAAAGCCTGCAGCAAGAGATTTTATATTTGATGAAATACCCCAAATGGAAACATTCCATTTCCTCTCAGATAATTCACTGGGTTCTACTAGTTTCAAAGGATATTTTTCCTGAATAAAGAAAAGTATGTTTTAAAGAATTTTATCATTCACACTTGTTTATTCACTCCCATATTCATTCATTCATTCAGTCAATAAATGTACTAAATGACTGTTGTGTGCCAGATAGTACTGAAGATGCAAAGGCATTATCCTCACAGTGCTGAATGGGGTAAGAGGCACAGCACTGTGTTGCTCTGATGAGGTATGCTGGCCTTGGGAACTGTGGCACAGGGCAGAGAGAAGTGCAGCACAGTCGGGTGGGATAACAGCTTCCCAAGAGAGGTAGTATTTTGCAGTGTCTTTGTATATTTGTGTGAAAAAATGGGAACTAATCAGGTTCAGAGAAGGAGCAGGGAGACTCATTCTACAAAGAGGAAATGCTATGAATAACGCCACTATCAGAATAAGATGATTGATGATGTGTGGAATTTTTTTTTTAATTTTGTAGTTGTAGATGGACAGAATGCCTTTATTTTATTTGTTTATTTTTATGTGGTGCTGAGGATCAAACCCAGTGTCCTACGCATGCTAGGCAAGAGCTCTGCCACCGAGCTACAGTCCCAGCCTTGTTGTGTAGAAATTTTTAAGCACATCAGAGCCATTCCATTTTTTTTTCTTAATTCTCTAACTCCAACCATCATTTGGTAATGGATTTCTTTTTCTA